ATGGCTGATTTATTTCTCATTCATACAAAGGCAGACGTGGGTCAGCTTCCACCCATCTGGTGACTCACTGGCCTGGACACCTTCTGTTTCGTGACTCTGCCATCTCAACCCTTGTTGCAAGGTGGAATGGATGGAGAGCCTGGGTGGGGGTTGATTTACTCATCTTCTGCGTCTCCTTTACCCACTGACCAGGACCAATCACCTGTTCTCTACCTAGTACAAAGGAAATTGGGCAATATAAAGGGAATGTGAGATATTTAAGAGTAGCTACAAACCCCTTTGATAATCATTTCTCCCATATGTCTTAAGACTCATGCCTAGATCCTTGTTTAGTTCTAGAGTAACACTGGAGTGAGTGGATGAATAGCCAAAAACAGGCAATAAACAGAGACAGACTGGAGTGCTTGGGGCTCTTCCAGTATCATGAGATTGTAGGAAATCAGAGCTGAAGGACCCAAGATGTCCAGCCCCGCTAGGTGAGGAAGGAACCGAGGATCAAGGGAGTGGTGAATGGATTCACCTAAGGACACCAGGCAGTAGGTATGCAGGAGGGAAAGATTCTACCTCCTACCTCTTGGGACAGCCTTGTTGGCAAACAGGCCTATTTTACATACACCAAGGAAGCTCCTATTTAAAGAAAATCTGTGTGAAAATCTACCCTTAAGGTACAAAATCATTTTATAAACCGAGTTTCAAAATTCTAAGCATATTATATGTGAGTAAGGTTAAGTGTATAATGTGATACTCATAAATTCAAATCATGTTTGTGTACAGCAAGGTCACCAACCTCAGCGGTGGCTTTGGAGAGCTCCTTCAGTGTTGTGCACATCTCTAGATTTTAACTTTGGAAAAGTTGTTGCTTTCCAGGCAGTGCAATTTTTGTCTGCCCAGCCAGTACCCCATTTTTTTCAGTTTAGTTGATGATGAGGATTTCAAGATGGTCTATAGGCGTTTTTACCCACCCTGGTTCCTCTTTCAGCTCATAGATATCTTCCCTCTGGGGAGGCTCAAGAAAGGGGTGTACCTTAATGTCCCTAGGCCAACCTCGCTGTATGCTTGGAGGATTAGAACGAGTGAATGGAAGTGTTGGAGATGTAGTTTCTGACCTTAAGGAGATGAGATCAGGAAGTTCAGTTCTTTGATATCCCCTTATACAATAGCATGTTTCTAAAAAGCACTTCAGATTACATGGGTCTGTCAGCAAATCAGTATCTTGTAGGCTCAGGAAAAGGCTGGGAGGGTTGTGATGCCTATGTCTTTTCACAGGTTCCAGATGAAACTCTGGAAGGGTTACAAAGACAGTCCGTGTCTCTGGAATATTATTTGTGGCATCCATACAAGACATCCATCTCTGAAGATAGGATACTATGTTATGGGAGGGGGTGATTAAAAGAAACAGCCCCAAGGATCTCTGACCCATCCATTTGCGCTTCACAGGAGTGCCCCAAGCACACCCACGATGAAGGCATGTTAAGCATGGAGATGACTCCTTGCCTGCACCACACAGCTGGGCCTCTAGGGACCACTGTGTCTCGAGTTGCTGGCAGACTAATGCCTCCTTACACAATAAGCAAAGAAGAGCAAGTGGCAAATTCAAGGCTGACCTCTGTCCATCTGCCTGCTTTTAATCTGCCCAGCAACACTCTTAAGAGAGCCTGAACTTGGTGTGGTTGAGAACAGCTGTAATGCCAACACTTTTAGGAGGCTGAGGCAGGAGGATTACAAATTCAAGCAGAGCCTGGGCAATTTAGCAACTTGCTGAGATTCTATCTCAAAATAAAAAAGGAAAGGGAGCTGAAGATTTAGCTCAATGCAAAGGCCCTCTAATCTCTGGTATGAGAAAGGAAGGGAAAGATGAGAAACAGAGAGAGGAGAAGACAGAATCAGACACTCCAAGATGGAGGAGAAATTAAAAAAAAAAAGTCTCAAACCAATCTACAGCCCATCTAACAAAGATCACAGAGACAACTTTTCTCACACCTCTCTTTCTGTGGCCTGCTTCTTGGAGTGGTGGGGGAAGGACCAGATTGTCTGCAGCCAGGCCCAGTGACTGCCTCTCATTGGCCAGTGATGTAGAGCAGTAGACAGAAGGAAGGAACTTGATCCGACAGTTTGCGGAGGGGCTGGGGTGAGCATTTTCACAGCCTGGGAGGAGACGACATGGAGAGTAGTGGAGCAGAGCATCTTGTCCTCTGAGTGAGCCTCTCGGCTTCTTGCTGCCCCGTCTACCCATCTCAGCACTCATGCTCGCCAGCACCCATCCAGTCCCCGACTGAGATGCACACCCAGGGCCCCAGGAGTGTGCAGCTGGCCCAGGCTGCCCCAGCCTTCCCTGCACTTGGCTTTCTGCCTCTCTGGACACTTCCTAGGACCACCCACCATTCCCCTTCATCGTTGCTCAGAGTTTATTTTTCTAGGAGGATTAGTCAAAGAGTAAACGCCATAGGCCTTCTGGCCCTCCCAGAAAAAGCCATTTCTGTGTAAAGTGAAAATTAGACTCTTAAATCTGCAAAGAAAGCTGTTTATCTTACAAATTTATTCTTTTTATTGGGCCACACATATCCAAGATAGAAAGATAAAAGGAAAACAGATATGGGCCATCACTTAGAGTGACATACAGTGAGGACCGCTCACTGCGACTTCTGTACAGCCTTCCGGAGCGGTTTGCCGCCTGTCTCCATATTTATCTGGAATGTGCTCTGGGCCAGAACTACCAAAAACTCATATGCCCTTCATCATGTCTCCTGCACTGGCTTGGTCTTGTTCATAGAGGGGAGCCATGGGAAAAGCTACCGGGGCAGTTCAGAGGACAGGAGGACCTGCAGGAATTTACTTTCAAAAGGCCATACCTGCTAACTCTATCATGAAGTCACTATCCAGGATACTTAGATCTGCTTGTAATTCAAACTGACAATCATTGGCCTCTGAGCTTAAACTGGGTGTTTTAACCACATTTCCAGGTGCTCTTGGGCAGAATTTTAATCAGATTCATCATTGCTTAAGCTGACCTCATGATCCCAGCAAGAGGAAAGCTGGAGGTGCCAGGAGGGCAAATGCAGTGTGCCATATGTTGGGGAGGTGGGGAGGGATGTGAGGGGCAGATGACATTTTGACTTTTGATACCTAGGTTGCTTGGCTTGGAATTGACATCTGCCTATTGCTCCTCTAGGTCGTGATAAAGTGCCTCTGGTTGCAGCCCCTGGTAGATTCAACCCACAAGCTGTGGAATGTCACGTGGGACTGGGATGTATGTGGGCCATTTGTCTGCATAACTTTGCCACACTCATGCTTGTTTGTTTTTATACATAAGCCACCTTTGGTGGTCTTTCCATATTCATTAGTATGGTCACAAATCTAGCACTTGCTGGGGTAAGGTGACTGACTTGGGGTTCTAGATGGAGGTGAGCTTAGCCTTCCTACCTGTATATAGATAACAGATGACTATGGCCAGATTTTTCAATTAGAAAAAAATGTCTGAGTCATTATAGCCTTTGGCTAGGTCTTCCATGATGTAAGGGTAGGGGAAAGAATGGAACTAAAAGTGAGCCTGCAGTGAATTTTCTCAGGGTGGTAGTCTGGTCATCCATGGTCCCAGTGCAGGGGAGATACTCTAAACTAAGCACTTCAACAGTTACTTGCAGCTAATGCTCAAATAAGAATTAAATGTGTTTGCCTTCTTCTGGTTCGTGGTCTATAAGTCTGTCCTTTTTGGTCATTAGCAGAGAACACCAGGAACGGATGTTGCAGAATAAAAGCCATTTGCATTTCCCATTGCTTGGAAGGTACAAATCTTATTTATTCTCATCTCTGCAGAATTCACAGATCTGCTCATTACCCCAGAAGGTTCCCTTGTTCTCACAGTGGGATTTACCATGAAGCTAGAGGGTGAGCTGGAAACTGTGGCAAGGATACCGCAGGCCTCAGGAACTGGGGCTCTGTGCCAGGCCTTCAGCCTGCGGCTCAGTGGGGAGACCCGGGACTCAGGAAGAAGGAGCAAGTCCAGAAGTTGCTCTCTGGCCTCCCTCCTTTGAGATGCAGATTCCCAAGTTCTGTCCTGCTCCCCCATGTCGCCTCTGTAGCAGTGTGATGTCAGGCCTCGGGTACTGCAATAACATATCTTCCAACCACTAGATATTTTCACAGTTTTATTTACTATTATATCCCATCATTTTTGCGCAGAAGGCAGCCGTATGTAAATTTTATTCCATTTTCTAATGGCTTGGGTTACATAACAAATAACAGCAGGAAGGAAAATTTGTATTGATACTTTACAAGAGGAACTTCTCAAGTCACCGCATGGAGATTTAAATGCAGTGCTCTAAGTTTATGGGAGTTTTGCAGCTGAGTTTCTGCACATGACTTTGAATATGTCACTATATGTTTATCATGGGCTAATTGTGGAACCGCATTTCCATACTTTTTCTTCTTTTCATGAGATTACACCAGCCAGTGATAGATACGAGACTACAAGGAAAAAATGATCAGTTTTGGATAATTTTCTTTCCTATCCCAGAATAGCTGTATGTCTGCATGTCTTAGGAGATCAGCTGAGATACTTTTTTTTACTTTCCATTTGTTGCTGGCTATCATGAAAATAATGATTTTTTTTTTATCCTGTAGTGAACTCTCCAGTTAATCCGTATTATAAATTAATCAGATTCAACAAACACCCACATTTTTAAACTTTTGAAAAAAATATTTAATAGGAACTAAGCAAAAGAAGAAATCAAACCAGCTGCTGACACAGCTGTTTCTTCTCTTGTTTAATTCAGTTCAATATAAAGGTACCATATGCTGCTTAAAATGATGATAGGAAAGATGAAATAATTTAAGAGAATAACAAGAAAATACATGAATTGTCAGCATTCTGTCAGATTTAAAGAATGAAATAGACAGGTGTAGTATTGACATGTTTAACTTTGTGTGGTGTTAGCAGTTTTGGTGCGAACAACTTCTGACATGTGCTGAAATGATGTGAGAATGTTTCTCCTCCACTGCAGACATCGGTGAGGAGGCTGGGAGAGCTGCTGGCGTCCAGCAGCCGGCACTGCTCCGCGACAGGAGCCTGGGCTCCACCATGAAGGACTGCCCATACTGCGGGAAAACATTCCGGACATCCCATCACCTCAAGGTCCACCTGAGGATACACACAGGTGAGAGATCTGGGTGTGCCCAGGGTGTGGCTCAGGGGAGGAGGAGATGAAGGTCCCCGATCAGCCCTACCTTGGACTCAGGTCCACAACTGTGTTAGTCCCTGGGCCTCTCTGTGTGCCACTGGGTGGTTCAGAAATGATCCTGATCCCTGGATCTGTTGCTTAAAATCACAGTGCCTCATCATCCTACCAAATGGTGCATGAACACAGAGACATTCCTGACATGGGTCCAGGTCGGGTATAACCGTGCTTCGTCTGAGTTCTAGCTTCTTTCTACTATGAGGATATAGCACCTCCAGACCTTGCATGAACCAGAAGTCAGTGATGAGACCGAGTTCAACCTCTCTTAAGTTTTGAAGGGTGCAAGGAGCTCTCCCAAATGCCCACAAGGGGCCTTTGGCCCAGCCTGGGTCACTACACCATCCCTGGGGCTGTCCACATGGAGGCAGCCTCTTACACTGTTAGTCCTGTAGATTGGGTGGCTCTCCACTGAGTCTCCTCGAAGGACACATCAAGATGCTCCTACCCACATAGGTGAAATGGCTGCTGGTCCCGCTGGTCATTTTTCTTGTTTGAATATTGTACCAGCCCCTTGCAAGGACGACTTTTTTTTAGCTTTTCTGCCTTGTCCCTCAGCTGCCGTCCTCCCTGACTTTTCTGCTAGTTGTTTGTACATTGCCAATATAAAAAAAAAAATCTATCTGAGATATGGACACCTCCATTTTCTTTGATTTTTCTCCTGACACTTTATCTATTGGAGTATGAGCTGCTTCAGAGGATAGACAAATATGCCATCTATTTTCAAAAATAATTGTGGTCTATTTGCCAAGGAATCAATAATGCTCAGGGTTGTGCAGGGATATTGAGTGCATGCAGGCTTCGTGTGTACAGTGTGGTTAAGGCTGAGGAGCCCCTCACCTGGAACCTCACCTGGTGCCCACAGATCTTCCCGACCTGGAGAGGAGCTCTGAGGACAGGTGGCAATGGGGCTGTGTCCTCCCTCTTGGCAGCATGTGACACACATATTTGCTGCCTTTTCCTGTCCTGGAGTATGACTATCGTGGAGTCATCCCAGCCACAGAGAGATCTTCTAAGACTATGCACCAGACTAAACCACCCTCTTGCAGGTGGCCCCTGCTATCTGACCCTGCCTCACTGCCCAACCTATCTTGCTCCAGTTTTCATCCTAGTCATCTCTGAAACATCCTTTACCTTCTTCCTGTTCTACCAATGCAGAAAGCTACCCCTGCTGTAGTACCTTCATAACGTCACTGCCTCCACCTAAAACCTTCTTCTCCAGCGGATCACAGGGGCTTAGCTTACTGTGACCTATTCAGAGAGACCATCCTCATCACCCACTCCCTGCTTTATTTTTTCACAAAGTGAACACACCCTGACATAACCTTGTTCAGCTCCATTGTTTCCTTATGGTTTGCTTATCTCCCTTAAGATTTGTGAGGTGTCAGCTTTGTTCACTTTTATCCATGTACAAATGCTTGTCCTTTGCTATCATTTTGGTAACCCCAGATCCTGAGAGAGCACCTTGTGCTGAGTAGGATCGCAGGGAATTTATTGGAAAGCCTGAATGACAAAGCAAATGCTGGGCCGTGACGTTCCTCTCATCTTTCCCCACTGTGTGAGGATGTGGTCAGGTCCTTCCTCCAGGGAAGCACAGGCACCTGTCAGAAGTGCTGGATTCCTGGGGTGGTGGAACGGAAAAGCCTCTTCCCCAAGGAGTGCAGGGAGGGGCCTCTGAGCTTGGGCCTTGGGTCTTCTCATCTTGCGTTTGTTTCTCTGTCACACAGCTTTGGGGCCTGGTCCTTCCCCTACAGCATTTGTTTGGCACCTTGCCCCTTCTCATGGAGGCCGTCCCTGTCCTCCTGTTTGATAATGCACACATAACCCACCCATACTTTCTATTCTTCTTCCTTTCCCTGCTTCAGCTGAGGCTCCTACCATCTGATATGGGACATACATTATTTATTTATTCATTTTTTTAAAATTGCAATTCACAGATATTGAACCTGGGGTCTTCACACTGAGCTACATCTCCAGCTTTTATTTTTATATTTTATTTTGAGGCAGGATCTCACTGAGTTGCTAAGTTGCTCAGTTTCTCCTGGGATCCTCCTGCCTCAGTCTCTCAGAGTGCTCGGATTACAGGTGTGTGGCACCATGCTAGCCTCATGTGGCAAATGCTAGCCTCATGCTAGCATTTTGTTACTGTCTCTCTCTATGCACTAGAGAGTAAGTTGCAGGAGGCTGAAGGTTTCTTTCTGCCCAGCTGTGTCTCACATGCAGACCTGGTTCATGGAAAGTGCTCAGAAAGTATTTGCTGAATGAAGGAATAGGTTGGTGAAAATGACCAGGCTCAAGGGCAGGCATCTCAGATAGCTGGCCTTCTCAGGTTATGCTTTGTCTGTTTTCCTCTTGCAGCTGGGGTCCCCTTAGGTTGTGGCGGTCATACTGACAAGGCATAGGATGCTGTCTGCACCACACCCATTGTCAGGCTGTCCACAGGAGAGTAGAAACCAGGCCAGGTGTGTCAAACTCTGCTTTTATTTGTTGTGAATACACAGGTCTGGGCTGAGTTTGCCAGGTGGATGATAGGTGGCTCGTCATGGGTGGCATCAGCCTTGCAGGAAGTATGGGTCAGCAAGCAAGAGACAGAGCCTCTGAAGGGGGAGAGTTGTGCTTGGGGGCCTCACCGACGTGGCCACCCTGGGGAGCAGACATTTCCTGGCATGCTCTGGGCATATTTGAACCAAAGCTGCTCTGAGTGTGATGAACCCAGATGAAAGCAAGCAAGCACATACTTCTTTCTGCAGGTTTAAACTTGGAGAAAGATTCATTTTTTCCAAACTTCTGCTTTGCAAACTTCTGAAGTTTATGACAAGTAATCTTTGGAGGCTCTGAGGGAGGCAAGACTGGCCATCAGCTGAGGTATTCCAGAAACTTCCTCCAAGAAGGAAGAAAATGAAAGAATCCATGGAAACCTCACATCCCCACCATCCCCCTCCTCTCAGAAACAGCATTTGCCATGTTTAAAAAGCGGAATGGTAACCAGATAAAGATCAATTTCCTTTTTATCTAAGAACAAAGAAGTTGGAAAATGCTTACACTTGTGCATTTGAATAGAACAGAAAGTGTTACATGTTATAAATCACCGAAGTAAACATCCATTATGACAATGTAAAAGTGAAGATTACATGAGTAATTAAACATCAAAATCTAGTTATTTGTTAATAAATGATTTCATGTGGGACTCAAGTGGTTGAAATGCCCCGACCTGCCTTCCCCGTTGCTCTTGTGTTTTTGTATTTGCAGATGACATGGCCAGAGGACAGCAGCGTATCAGAGAAAAATACATGTTGTCCAAAATGCCATCTTTTAAAGTTTTCCTACAATGGATCCATACCAGCGCATTTAAAAATCCAACATGTAATAAGTGCATTTTAATTGGTTGGGCTATAAGAGGGCCCCTTCTCTGTATTTTTCTATCACACTCCATCTTTATTAGAAATCTTGATTGTGTGACATCGACTGATAGAAAACCATTTTCCTTTCTTTCTGCACTGCATTAACTTAATTACTGCTCTTCTTCTCCAACACCTGTTTATTAGAGAGGCACTGAGTAGATGCACCAGTCAGAGTGCTCGCAACACCTGGGGGCTGGGGCAGAGCCTGCAGGTAGCTAGGACGTGTCTGCTGTCCCGGACTTCAGCCAGCCCCATGGGGGCACTGAGATGATGCATCTGGCAGTCTCCAGTGCCAGGCAGGCCTAAAGGCTCTTCCAGTCCAGCTCCTGGCAGGGCAGATGTTGAATTCTGCCCAGTCTGGGGAAGCTAAGCCTTACCCTAGGGTGAAGAGGGGGATCATAGGGTGCAGGCAATTTCTCTTCTGAAACACAAGGGCTGTGGTCTGAAATCAGAGCCAATCAGTACAGGAGGAAAAACAATTATATCAGGATTCTCTGGAGAAACAGCCAATAGGAGATTATATATATAGTCAGGTGTCACATAATGACACTTTGACCAGTGATAGATTGAATATGTGATAGTGGTTCTGTAAGATTATAATGGAACTGAAAATTCCTATCACCTAGTGATTTTGTAACATCATAGCACGACTTGTTACATGTCTGTGGGGATGTTGTTATAAACAAACCCACACTGCCCTGTGTATAAAAGCCCAGCACATGCAGTCACGTGCAGTGCATAATATTCAACCATGATCACAAATGATTATGTTACTGATCTGTGTATTTTCTGTACTATATTTTTGATGTTTTAGAGTGTATTCTTACGTTTGTGTGCGTGTGTGTGTGTGTGTGTGTGTGTGTGTGTGTGTGTGTGTGCGTGCACAAGCTACGGGGCCTTCTGTTTTGAACCTATGACCTCTCCACTACACAAAATCCCTGGCCCATTTATTTATTTACTACTTGTGTATTTTGGGGCAAAGTCTTGCTAAGTCACTAAGCTGCCCAGGCTGAGATCAAACTTGTGATCTTCTTGCTTCAGGCTCCTGGAGTGCCTGGATTCCAGGCATGTGCCACCATGCCCAGCTAGAGTATACTCTTACTTATAAAGAAAAGCTTACCGTAAAATAGTAATACATTGGTGTCTTGCTTACATCAAGAAACCGTGTCTAGTGACTGATCCACACTGTCTCAGCTTGTGTAAACGCCCCTGTTATGTCGACACAAGGATGATGCATCTTGTAGAATATGTCTCCTTCGTTAAGCTCTGCATGGTTCTGCGTGTGTGTGTATGTATGTGTATATGTACATATGTATGCATTGATGACAAAAACTTGGCTTGAGTGATTATGGAAGCTAAGAAGTCCCAAGATACGTAGCTGGCAAGCTAGAGACCCAGGAAGACTGATTGTATAACTTGGGGTTTGAATTTAAGTTAGATGCAGAAGAATGATGCCCCAACTCATCGACAGACAGGCAGGGGACTAGCCCACTCCATGGAGGGAAGTGTATTGAGTCTACAGATCTGAATGCTAATCTTACCCAGAAACCTCACAGACATATCCAGAAAATCTTTAACCAAATATCGAGGTGCCGCGGGCTGGGTCTGTTGAACTCATAAAATCAGCCATCACTGAGACCCACAGGTAAACATTTAGCTATAACTTGCAATGAATGGAAGCAGTGGGGAAGTGGAATGTGCCCAGCATCTCCCCCAAGATTAGCCAATTATCTCAGTGGCTGCCATGAATGAGGAGTCTCTTCCCCCTCCTTTAGCTAGATTTCAGAAGGTGCTTGAAGATACTTTGGAGGGTCCAGCATACCTATTTCATGGGCGGCCAACAGGCAGGTTCTGATGGGCCCCTGAAAGACTAGGGTGTGTACTTGCTACCTAAGCCCCATAGAGCGTGAGCCTATGTGTGGTCTCCAGGGTGGGTTAACTCCTGTGGCTCGTTTGTGTGGGGTTTCCCAAAAAGGGCTGTGGTCTCAGCAGTGTCCATTATAGAGAAACTCAATAAGCAACTTCACTGGTGAAAACTTGGAGGCCCTAAAGTTCAGCAACTAATTAAAAATAAATCTCATTAATTCATTCCCCCTCTCAAATTATGCGAGTGACTTATTAATCGAGTTTTGATGTGCTGCACATGCGGGTCTGGGCCTGGGTCGGGAACTGGATCCACACAGAGAAGTGAGAAATGGTTTTCCAGGGGCCTCAGCTGTGCTTAGAGGCCTGGGCTTCTGGTTGAAGGGCATGTGTATTGCCAGCTCTCCCAGAGCTGCCTCTGTGACGTAGTAACCAGGTGCTACCTGAATCCTGCACAGGGGCTGCTTTCCTAGCCCTCCTGGGCATTCTTGACACCAGACACAAGTTTCCCTTTGTACAAGACCGAAGAGAATTGTGGAAATGAGATGCTTCTCAAAAGGCTGCACACCCAGTGGGGACTGGGAGGACCCCTGGGAGTCCTGCCTCATGACTGAGGCTGTGTCTACGCAATGTGAGAACAACTGGCTGAAGACAGAACAGTCTGGTCAGTGGGGACAGGGTAGCAGCAGCAGCAGTCAGCGTGGCGGGAGCCCCTGCTTTTCTGTAGAGGCTCACACGCAGGCACTGTGGGAAGCTGTGCCTGCCATTTGCTCCTGGTCCTCACAGCGCTGTGCTGACCTGGGATCCACCCCCTGCTCTGTGAAGAGAACTAAGTCTCAGAGACTCAGCTGCCCAATCAGAGTTGCCCAACATTGGATGGCCGCCATTCAGATCTGCCTAATTCGGAACGCCAGTCTCTTAACCACTGCACTGTATTGATATTTTTACTTTTCTGAGTGAAGTTCTTGTTTGCTTTAGGGAATTAATGCACCATTTCTTTGACAGCGTTTGCCTACACCATAACCAGCAGGAGAGGAGGAAGTGACTTGTCCTCACAAATTGTGTTGACGCAGCCTCCAGGTGACTTAAAAGGGAAGTACTGTGCACCCCGGCTCCTCCTTACCCCTATCTCAGTCTGGCCCCATGTGCCTCAGTTTCCCTACTGCACAGCAATGTCAGGAACGTGGTGAGGAAGAAGAATGGCCACTGTAGGATGCACAGGTGTTCTGAGATCCGGAAGGGACATGGGGGTGGGTTCAGTCTGGGCAGTGGAGGCAACGGCAACTTGTGCCACCGTGGAGAAACTGGCTTTCTTTCCCCAAAGTTTTGCAGGCACTGGCTTGCATAAAGGTCCTGGTTGGCATGGATACTTTGGCTGGCCTAATCCGGGTGCCTGATGCTTGGTGTATGCATAACTCTCCACCACTCTGCCTTTTGCAGTACTGAGGATTGAACCCTAGGCCTTTGCTCTGACCTATTTCCCTAGACCATTTTTTATTTTGACACAGGGACTCACTAAGTTGTTAAGTTTCCCAGGCTCTGCTCAAATGTGCCACCATCCCATCTCAACCTCCCAAAAGCTGAGTCTCCACAAATGACTTATACCTCCCCATTGACAGTTCCATGTTTCCTCTCCCATGTAAGGTAGCCAGGCTGTTAAAACACATAGACACATAGAAAGGCACATTGAATATGCTTCCCCAAATGTGCTGGCTACATGGGAGGTTTTCCTGTCTTCTCCAGCAAGGAAAATATGTAGCATTCTCCTTAGCATGGGAACAGCCACCTGAGCAATCACAGAAAGAAAAAAAGGAAAAAAAAAAAAAACTCCAAAAGGAGATGATTCTCCTTTTGTTTTTGAGTTAAAAGTCCACCATTTTTCTATTTCTAAGACGAACTAAAAACATGTTGTGTTCCTCCACAGCCCTTCATCCTTGCTCTTCCTGCCTTAATGACATCCCAAACTTTTGTTGAAAATAATTGATTGAATTTAAATTTCCTTAAAAGTTTAAGAGGTAATGTTACAGTATAAATTTCCTACCAAACACTAAGTAGGGAAATATCCATTAGTGAAATTAACTACAGTTTCTAGGTAGCTAACAATGTGCCGTATACAGTAGGGCATGGCTAATGAACACTGCAGTGGGTGATATTTCATTATACAAATTAATGCTCACATTTTAATGGGAAAGTCACAAAATGAATCTCGGCTTCAGTGACAGCAATTAGAGACACAGATTGTCCCCTTCTGGACAAGGCACTGTTTAGCAATAAGCAGCTGTGTGAAAAGTCTTCAGGTTTACAACATATATATGCTTTGGGGGAATTAGTGTACAATTTATATTAATGTACTGAAGCTTCGCTGCAAAGGCACCACCATATTTATCTCTCCTGGTATTAACTAAGTAAAGACATGTAGGAAGACTAAATAAATATCAAATAGAAGGTGCAAATACAAGAAAAAAATTCAGTGGCTCAATTTAAAAGTAGAAACACTTTTGGAGATTTAGGGGGAAAAAAGAAACGAAAAAGAAGAAGAAAAAAGAGAAAAACCGTTAGAAACATGAATCATTTCCTAAAAGCTTAATAAAGGGGTTTCCAAAGAGAATAATATGAATCCACCTGTTATTTTTGGAGAGGCGCTGTTGGAAACTTGCTTTCAATAGCTCCAAAACAACTCCCTGCAACAGCGAGGGTTCCTTTGATCTATCAAGTGCAGAGTGAATGCTCAGAATAATAAAAGATATGGTTATGTAAAAATAGGTACAATGAACTAATTAAACCAACTGGTCATATATCTCTAAAACTTTATGATATAATGACTTGAAAGAAGTTACCAATGATATTCCAAAGTTGAGTATATATTTGATGCCATATGTCAGTAGGAAGCTGGCTTAATGTAAGGTGGTTCCAATGATTTTATAGTCTCCCTAGATGACAAATTGATTATTTAAAAATATTATGCATTTTCTAACAATAGTTTTTTTCTGGAAATGCATTATTTGGACCATGTCTTAAGCTTTTAGAATATTTTGAGAGGGTTCCCGGTAGAAGACCACCAAGGCTCTTACCTGCTTTCTCCAGTTGGTGAATTTTGATTCCTGCATGTTCTTGTCCAGCCACTAGTTTCAAACTAGCTGCCTTTCCAGAGCCTGTCTCCAAGTGTTGGCTACTGTGGCTCTCTCAGTGTTATGAAAAAATTTTGAAGTAGGCAGTGATTCCTCAGAATGCAGATACTGCATGCAGACATTGGAGTAAAAGACTTTTCTAGAGACTAGGGATTTAGCTCAATGGCTTACACGCCTGCCTGGCAAGTGCAAGGTCATGAGTTCAATCCTTGGTACACACACTCAGGCACACACACACATACACACACACAGATTCACAAAGACTTTTCTGAAAAAAGTCAGAGCTCTGGATGTCCACAGTTGGCTAAAATTGAGTTGTCTTTTCTCTAGGAGAAACATTTTCCCCTGCCCCACTGTTTCCTATGCTCAGCTGATCTGCCTGGTTCTTGAGGCACCTAAGTGAACAATAATTGGTAGATATAAGGACAGACACTCCAAGATATCACAGAGGTGACTCGAGGACTCATGACCCCCTGAAAGCTCAAGACAGCCTGAGGGATCCCCCCAGAAGATTTAGAGTCATTTTCAGCCTAAATAGCAAATATTTCAAGTAGACAGAGCTGCTGGCAGGGCTGGGTTGTTTGTGCCACAACACAGGAATAAACAGTCCAAGTCTCAGGCAGAGTTTGACCTCCATTGGGAGGGGCTGGGCAATCTCATTTCTTGGCTCTTTGCAGAAGGCTGGCGATGCCTATAGCCTGAGAGTTGTCAGAGTCATTCAAGAGGGCTTGGCCTATTGAGTGTGTCCATTTTCAGTGACCTTGATTGCAAAGCAGCTCAGCACAGGTGGACTCAGCATTTGTCTGCATGGAGTAGCAGAGCTTGACCACGTCTCAGAGCATGCTAAATTTGCTGATAGGTCTTTCATCTCAGTTGTTACCCATCCCAACCATCAATTTTGTGAGAAATTGGCCTCCCGAGCACTCCAAGATGTGTCATTTTGGGGAAAGGATGCTTGGGGAATAGCTTGGGTGCTTCCAGTGGAAATGAAAGCCACTGGGCTGCTCAGCAGCCTCTGGAGGGCACACTTAGCCAGACAACTTCCATCCCCATATTTGACCAGCAGATCTGCACCCCAACAGCAGCTAGCTTCAGTGTCCAGGCATGTTCCTATGCCCTTCACTGGGGAAGAACCTCTGGAAAGGGAGGAGAGTTTGTAAGACCCAGGTGGCTATTCAGATCATTTAGGGATTACAGAAAGAAATTAAGATTGAGGTTACTTTTTTTATTTTTAAAAACCATAAATCCAAAAAGTTTATCCCAGGGAACGTCACTCTGGCACATTTATCTGGGGAACCAGAGTGACAGGAAGCAGCCACCCAAGCAAATCTCTTTAGGTACCAGGTAGGAGATGGAGGAGGGTGGGAAAATGGATTTCTAAGCACTCTGCACATCTTGTGCAAACAAAGGAACCTTGGAAAATTTGTGATTCACCAGGCCTGGACCAGAAGAGTTGCCAAAGCCAGGACAGGACTGTCCCAGAGTTTGGGTCACTGGCTCTTTCCCTCTTCTCCAGCGGGGGCACAGGCTACCTCAGAATTTTGAAGAGCAGGGAAATAAGTGATGAGATCTGTGCCCCTGCATGCTGCGATGTTGTGTGTAGGTACAGGTACGAATTCTGCTTGCTTTATTAGCCACATGGTAAGTGTCTTCTGAGGGCGAGGAGAGGAGGGAGAGCTCTGTCTCTGGGCCCTTTTACTCAGGGCCACCATGCTGTGAACAGTGAACAGTGCTCAGTAGGTATGAGGAACTCATACATTCATTGGTTCATCCAGTCCAAGTCTGTGTGAATGAATCTGTTTTTTCAAAGATGTGGTTACATATATGTGTGTACACATGAGTCTGGTATATTCAGCAAAGTTCATTTAGCTTTTATTTAAACAATAACATACTGGGGATTCAACCCAGAGCCTTACCCAGCTATATCCCCAGCTTTTTAAAACTTAATTTAAGTTTTTAAATTTTGAGTCAAGATCTCACTAAGTTGCCCAGACTTGGCTTGAACTGGCTAGCCTCCTGCCTCAGCCTCTTACAGTGCTGGGATTATAGACTCATGTCACAGTGCCTACCCTTGATATGAGGTTAGAGTTAGCATAAAGCCTTGGGGAGCACATTGCCCTCACATTACAGGTCGAGAAGGCAGATGTCCTAAGATTGGGGTCCTGCGTCTAGCAGAGCACGGGGATGCCACTCCCCTGTCCAGACTCCCTAAGTACTTTCTGGGATCTAAACTGTCTTCCTTGCTAATCCATGCCCCAGAGCCTGCTAAAAGCATGCAGTAGTCTCTACCCAGGGTACAGTGACCAATGACCTAAGGAGTTTATAAAGATCCCAAACTCCAGTTGATATCTTTGGTTAATTAACTCAGAATCTGGGGAGACAAGGGTGCTGGACCTCAGTACTTTTTCCAGCTCCTCAAGTAATTCCATGCTGGTTTTGCAAAGTGCAGTCTTTACAGCCTCTGCACCTGAATGACCAGGGACTCTTGCTACAAACACTGACTTCTGTTCTTCCCTACAAACTTAGGAACCGGCACTGCTGCCACAGGAGCCCAGATCTCCTGCTGTGACAAACACCCCTACAGGTTCTGAAGCACAGTGCAGTTTGAAATTACCTCTCCAGGATGTAGTTCAGATGTGTGGCCCTGTTACACACACACACACACACACACACACACACACACACACACACACACACACACATCCTTTCTGCATCCCTGTGGTCCCCACCAAGAGATGCAACCCCTGCCTCCCTCAGGCCTGGGCTTGAAAGTCCACATTCTCCCTCTTCAGCTCCTGCTAATGAAGGCCCAGGCTTTCTCTACAGTCCCTTTGCCAGATGCACTTAATCACTTCCAGGTGCATTTGTGCAGTGCCACCTGAGGCTCCCCAGTACCTGCGGGCCTCACTTCTGCTGTCTCTTAGTCCTGGAGCCCCCCCCCCCCCAGGGGCTGCCTTGACCTATGGGTCTCAGTTTCTGGCCTGGATGTCCAGATCTGAGCCCAAACCTACCCCCTTAGCTCTAGGGACTACCTCTGCTGCACCTGGCCACTGAACTTCCAGGTAAACTGAGTCTGTTAGGACATCCACTATCCAAAAGTGTCCCTTCCAGAGTTGATTCCCTGTCTAAGTATCAGTGGCTGAAGTGGATCTGAGTTCAATGCAGAGATGAAATTCAAGGAGAGTGAAAATGGTCCCTGAAATTGTTCTGCACCTTTTCTCAAAATGGATAGTCTTCCACAACATTCACATCACTGGTGTACCCAGCCCACTGCAATCTTTGAAATTATGATTAGAGAAGTAGACTCCCAGATAGCTCCTTTTCCCAGACCAGAAAAACCTCTCTGAAGAAGGGTTCCAGGGAGATCTTAGCTTCCTGATGAAGTCCAGAGTACCATCCAGAGATGATAGGCTGTGTCCCTTGCTCAGAACCTGGACTTATGGTTCTCTTGTTTACAAAATTTATAAAATTCCCCCAAGTTCCCTAGGCCTGAAGGACTGAGAGTTATGGCATCAACTGAGAGCAGACACAGTGAAATGTTTTCAGAATGCACCACTCACCACTGATTTGCTGTTGCTTTTTAGATCAGTCTGTCTTACAATAGAACAGAGGAAGTGTGTGTGTGTGTGTGTGTGTGTGTGTGTGTGTGTGTGTGTGTGTGTGTGTAGAGGGAGTAGATAGTAACAAGGTGCTATTGTGAATAAGCTAACTGGGACTGTCACAATTCCTAGTCCTTCCAGAGGGCTTTTTGGTTGAAAAGTCTAGAAAAGACCCAGGATTATTAAAAAATTCCTGGAACATATTTAAATTCACATTTGTTTATCTTCTTTTCCTCTTCTTTCCTACCATGCCAGCAGATGTAAGCTGTCTGTTATGATATCTCTCTCTCCATCGTGGAAAGAACAATAGAAGTTGGGTGTTGAATTTAAATAAATATTTAATTCATGAAAATTATCTTATATGTTTTAAAACACTCTTTAAAGCTATTTTTATTCTCTAGAAAGCGCTTATTATAGGTAAATTACACATTTTACTACCGGAGCATTAGGTTTGCCATTAGTACAAATTTAAGGCACTACAAAGACCAGTAGATAATGTTAATTTCAAATACAGAAACTAAATATATTTTGTACCTTTTTATTACTCATTTTCTTTTAAGTTTTATTGACTGCTTTTTATCTTAACTATATGTCTTTACATGCTGCAATCATAATGCACTGTAATGGTATTAATATTTTATAGAATCGGTATTTATAGTTCTTTATTTAGGAACAATGCAGTAGGTCTGCAGATATCTGAGCCCGTCTGGAATGGTGCCCTCCAAATAATGATAAATTACTTGTGCAGTATGCCATTTGCTAATTATATCCATGATTTACTGCAGAGCAAGACTTAAATCATTCATTTCAGTCTTGCGTAACAGTGCCATAAAATTTTTAGGTTTAAAAATGGTTTCCATGTGTATAATTTAAACAAATTTTAGAGCTATTGTATACACAAAATATTGCAACCACCCATTTGTTACATACTTTGTCTTTTTAAACTTCTACTTTTAATGATCACTGTGGTTGAAATTATTATGCTTAATTTTCATAATCATAGCTTTTAAATCTACAGCCGTTTTCACATGTTAGATAAAGAAAAAGATAGCTAATTGTGTGTAGATAGTATGTCATTCCTGAATAGCCCCAAATAGTACAAAATCATTAGAAAACCTTAAGAGTACAAATTATTCTTCTATTAAAAAACAGTTGTTCTCTAACTAATTATTAGTTTGAGCTGCTTTGTTGCAGAGAACAAATGTTGATCCTTCTAGCCTTGTTCTGCACTCTTCAATGAGATAAACACTTTTGCTTTCTCTTATATCAAAATCTTGCAGGTGAGAAACCCTACAAATGTCCTCACTGTGACTATGCCGGCACCCAGTCAGCGTCCTTAAAATACCACTTGGAACGACACCACCGTGAGCGGCAGAATGGAGCTGGCCCACTGTCTGGACAGCCCCCAAACCAAGACCACAAGGATGAGATGTCCAGCAAAGCCTCTTTGTTTATCAGGCCGGACATCCTGAGGGGGGCCTTTAAAGGTCTCCCTGGAATCGACTTCAGAGGTGGCCCTGCCTCTCAGCAGTGGACATCAGGAGTGCTCTCCTCTGGAGATCATTCTGGGCAGGCCACTGGTATGTCTTCTGACACTCCTCCAGACACCCTGAAAGGGGCCGACCTTCCTTCCAAGAGTACTCACTTCTCTGAGATCGGAAGAGCTTATCAAAGCATCGTGAGCAACGGTGTGAATTTCCAAGGGTCCTTACAAGCATTCATGGACAGCTTTGTCCTCAGTTCCTTGAAGAAGAAGGATATGAAGGACAAAACCCTCTCTGATCCCCTCTCCATGAAAGTCCATGAAGGCAGTGAGGAGAAGCCCAGTGGTAAGTCTTCCCAGAGGAAGTCTGAGAAATCTCAGTACGAGCCTCTAGACTTGTCAGTGCGGCCGGATGCCGCCTCCCTCCCAGGCTCCTCGGTGACAGTCCAAGACAGCATCGCGTGGCATGGCTGCTTGTTTTGTGCTTTCACAACCTCCTCCATGGAGCTCATGGCCCTTCATCTCCAGGCCAACCACTTGGGCAAAGCAAAACGCAAAGATCACGCCATTGTGGGGACAGCCAACTGCAAAGAGCAGGTACGAGAGGCCAGTAAGATGGCCCTGCTGCCCTCAGTACAATCAAATAAAGAGATGGGCCTTTCCAATACCATGGGCTCACTGGACTCTGCGCCAGACAAGATGGCCCAGGGACAGGCCAAAGAGACTCTGGGGGACCAGAAGAGTGGCCCGTGGCCCAGCCACGTGGACCCTGCATTTTGTAATTTCCCACCTGACTTCTACAAGCAGTTTGGTGTTTACCCAGGCATGGTTGGCTCGGGGTCCTCTAGTTCCTGCCCCAGCAAGGATCCTGATGGGAAGACCCATCTTGAAGATGACGTTCCGATCCTGATCCCTGAAACCACAAATAAGAGCACTGCTGATGACCTCTCAGACATCGCCTCCTCCGAGGACATGGATTCCTCCAAGGGAGAGAACAACGACGAGGAGGACCTGGAGACTGAACCGGAAGTGGTGAGCAGCAAACCCCTGTCTGCCCTCAGCAAGGACAGCAACAGTGATGGTGGGGACAGCCTGTTGCCCACCAGCACCCCCCAGCCGGTCCAGGGACTTGTCTCACCGTTAGCCCCAGCATCGGAGAAGCAGTGGCACAGTCCAGGCCTTCTTCCTGCCCAGGACCCCTCCGGGGGCCTGCCCAAGCCAGAGCGGGGTCCTGCTGGCCTGGAGAAGCCGCTGAACATGCTGTCGGTCCTCAGGGCCTACAGCGCCGATGGCTTAGCAGCCTTTAACGGACTTGCAAGTAGCACAGCAAATTCTGGATGTATCAAGAGGCCAGACTTGTGTGGTAAGTTTTAGAATCCTCTTCCTTTAGTTCCTTTCCCAAAACATCAGTGCTAAGTGAAGTATTTTGAAAAATGAGGTAGACTTCTGTATTAGCGAATTTCAAATGAAACCTAAAAAGGAAAAAAACCCCAAAACCCCAATGTTGTATATGCAATGTAGACAATCATAAAAGTCGATTTCAGTTAGAAGTGTTAAAATTCATACTCTTATATTTTAATCTACACTATAGAGCTCTCAAATGCCTGTACAGACAGCAAGGGAAAGGGGGTGACTAAGAGGGTGGCGTCTCACCGTGTAAACCTCTCCTAGTTTTCATCCATACATTGAGAAGGGGAAGAAAAACTACTTTAAAAACAAAACAAAACAAAGAGAGAGATGGTAACTTGCAAACTTTTCAGTACCTTCAACTCATGCAAAAGATGCCTAAAAACAGCTCTTTACTGCTTTGCTAAGCCAAATTTGCTTTCTAAAATTTTCCTTTATTGAGTGAGACTATACTAAATCATCCTGCTAACCACAATATAGGAAGAGAATGAACCTCTGTCCAAATAGGGAGATGCTTTTGGATGCTTGTTAATTCATCTTTAGACATACCAAATGGCACTTACTGTGACTTTGGCCTTCTACTGTTGCATTTTGTCTGTCTGTCTGTTTACCTGTCTGTCTGTCTTTCTAACAAGAAATGTACACTGTGAAGTCTCTGCTGAGCAGTGTTGTGACCCTGTGTGCCTTGGATTTATGCTTGTCTGATCTTGTAGCAAATGGATACTTCTTTATGGTTACCCCAAAATCTGCCATTGCAGATTTTAAAATGTAACCCTACATTTGAAGCTTGGATCCAGTGAATGTTGGGGTGGACAGAGAGGATCAGTGTCATTTTCTTGGTACCCAGATGTTCATTTGAAAGCTTGACTCTAAAGGGAAGCTCAGTGTATTATTTCCTTTGAAACCAGCCCCAAATATTCTCACTAGAGACAGATGGCCATTTCCATCTTTATGAATGGATTTGTATAGTTTTATCTCATCTGAGGGAGGAAGGGAAAGAAGGAAGGAAAAGAAAGAGGGAGGAAGGTAGGGAGGAAGAGAGGAGAAGGAAGGAAGGCAGAAGGAGGATGGGAGGAGGGAAAAGAGAGACACTGGAGGGAGCCAGGGGACATGGGAAGGGGAATGTCGCTGAATCTCAGCATCCTGATAGTTCTTTTAGCACAGAGCAAAATTCCAGAAGCTAGAGTCTGGGTTCATAATTTAAACTGATGTATTTCATTTTCCCACTCCTTTTCTAATTCACTAAGAACTGGATCAAGCAGTTGGAAATATTTCTGAATTGTCAAAAAAATCACTAAATGGATTTCTGACAGCTCAAAAAAATATTGACAGTTTCTTATGCTGAGTGATTCACAAGGCCCCATTAACCAGTACCCCCAGATCTATTTTTAGCGACATGCAATTCATTACTTTAGAAGCTGTTAAAAACAATATTTAAAAGAAGAAGAAAAGGACTTTATGTCAGTCCAATTTATTTTCCCTTTTCTAGGGGAGCAAAAATGTACATCTTTTCTCATTCATTGTTGTTTTAAGTTTGTGAGTGGGATGGTTGCTTTTTATTGCTGTTTGGGGAATATTTTTAAAGTCTATTTTCAGTTCTTTCAACTACCTAGTAGGACCATAGCTTCTGCCAGGAATCCATGCATCAGAAAAGATCAAAACCTGGCATGCACATAAGCTCATTATTATTAAAATGAGCTCGTATTACCCCTATTAATGTTCTGTCTTCCTATCAAGGCTGAAGAAGGCTGTGTGCCTTGAAGAAGCAGGGTGGAGGGGGAGGCAACACAAGCAGCCTGCTTGGTCTTGTGAGCTTTTGCCCTCTGCGTCCATGCTGGTAGGTGCTTCCCCAAACAGCAGCTGCCCCTGCACCGGGTACTCCCTGTACAAAAACTTTGCTTGGTCTTGGTGCTTCTCTTTCAAAGGTGCTGAAGCATCTCAGACCAGCCAGGATAAGAAGGCTCACTGTGTGCTTCTTTAATAGAGCATCCAGGTCCCTCTAATCTAAAATGCCAAAACTAACCCTGGCATAAACTGCCTATTTTAGAGCATATGGATTTTACATTTCCCTTGGCCTCTTTTCTTCTGCATCTTTCGCTGTAGTTTGGAAGCAGGTAAGGAGGATCCTTTCCCATCCTTTGCATTTTCTTAGGCTGGAAGACCCTGTCCTCTTAGACAGGATGGGCCCAGCCCTATATAGTTCTCGTTTCCCTGCCCATTATCTGGACCAGCATAATTGCAATTTTTTTTCATGTTTTTACTAGTTGTCATGGTCTCCCAGGACCACAGAAGGCCAGGCATAGTCATCTTTGCTAATATTTAATATCTCAGAGGAAAAGTTAAATATCCTAGATGATGAAATCCCCCTCACAAAGAGTCTAGTTCGCTCTCTTTGTAGCATTGCAGAAAGCACAAGTGGCAGTTGTAAGCTTCAAATCCCTACTGGCTTCACTTCGCAAGGGTGTAAATGATATTGGCACAGAGAATAAAATATTTCTACCATGAATTCCCTCTTCCCTTCTCCACTTAAAGTATATATGGGTTTTCAAATTTGTCCGCCAGGTTGCTAGCTTGTCTTCCTCAAAAAGTAGGACATTGTGAAACCAAAGATTTTTTTCCTTATATTTCTCATCTCAGAGTTTGGAGTCTGATTCTTGTCTGGTTGTAAGCCCAACTCTTCACTTAGATTTCCCTGGAAACAGGGGAAGAAGTTGTATCCCTCTGTTTAAGAAAGAAAAGCATTTGAAGAAACATCAGTAAACCCTTATTCTAATCAGATAGACACCTAAGAATCTCAGCAATCCTTGTAGCACCTGCTGGAGAGCTGGCACATGTGGCTTCTCAACCTAAATCTATAGGTGATTCTTCTGTTGGAGGATGTAGTTTCAGGTACTCCCTTACGCACTGCATTTCTCCTTCCTAGTTTTTAGACCTAAGGTCCTGGCCAATGGGCTTTGCCTATTCATATCCGGTGCATTTCTAATTCCAGTGTAGAAGAGGGAGCCAACATGGAAGAGGCTGCCTCAGCCTGTAGCATAGGCCTGTAGCATAGGCCACTACAGAGATCAGGAGCATGAATTTCCCAAAGATCTCCCCACAGAAGGTAGCACATTAGCATATCTGGAACATATGACAGAGGATTCCAAGAAAGCATAGCAAAATTTATACCCTCTGACTAGGAGAGACAGATGAGGCCTTTGCCCAGTCTGAGAAACAAGAATGGATGTGTTGGTCAGCAGATAGCTTAGAAATCCAAGTGAGTGTGGAAGGCACAAGTTTCACTGTGCCTGCAGTCAATACAAAGGCCAGTCTGCAAAGCATCTTGGACTGGCTACATGGGAAGAACAAAGATCATGTTCCACCCCAGACCCTGTACATGTGAAAAGCAAACAGTTCACCCTTTCTTCTTGCTTTTTGAAACTGAGACAGATGGCCAGGGCGTGGAATTGCTGTGTTGAGTTTCATAAGCAGGTTTTGCTCTGTGTCCTTTGGTGAGCCCCCAGGGGTAGGATTGATGCAAGAAAATTCATCAGATTAAGGGAAAGGCAGGGAGGGAGAAAAGCACAATTCCTTTTCCCTGAGATGCTTTGCCTTGGAGTTGCCACCACTCCGGAAAGCCCAGCAGAGCAAGGGGAATCTATCAGCATGTGATCGTGGGGTGAGGCCCTGTGCAGTGGCTGCCGACCAACCGGAAGGACCAACGAGAGGGCAAGGCCACCAGCAGGAACCTGCCAAGAGTTTCAATTATTTTATTCTCAGAAACTGGTTCTCTAACCCAGATTCTCCTGTGGCCACTCAATAATGGTCCTCTAGCTTCTGTAGCAGTCATAAAATTGAAAAGTTCTTTCCCCACCAAAAGATAGACCCCAGTGCATTCTCTTCACTAAAAACATGTAATGAGATGAAGCAGCATAACTAAACTCAACTCTTAAAATGTAACTTTTTCCTCCTATGATTTCTATCATAGGCAGGCTGAATACACTCACTACTTTCCCAGATACACTATATAAAACAAGGCCCAACAAGTGCTTTTTCGAAGAGCCAGAGGGTAAGTTTTTAGTTGGATGGCATGTGGTCCATGTGCTCCTCTGTGCTGGATCATAACACCAAAGCAACCATAGACAAAATGCAAGTGAAGGGGCATGGCTGTGTTCCAGTAAACCTGCATGAACTGAAACAGTGGGCAGGCTCAAATTGGCCCACGGGTCATAGCTTGCCTACTCTAGTGTAAAGAAAGATGTGTTCCTGTGATCATCCCAGTACAGAAACACAGAAACGTGTCCCCATTGTTGCCCTGGATAGTGAGTTCATACAGAGGACCTATGCAAATACAGGGCTTTCTCTCTTGCTATGTAATGCCAAAGATACTTTCCAGACAGAACACCTGTGTCTGGAAGGCCACATATCTCTCTCTGTATGCATGGAAGACTTCCGGGAGAACACTTGGTCCAAAGCCACCCCACTACTACCACCAGCAGCAGCCAAAGTACACACAAAAACAGAGGACCACACAGCTCTGCCTGGGTTTTGTGTAAACTTGCTTCCTCACAGATAGTCAGACATGTAGGAATGAGACAAGATGACAGATGTAAATAAGATCTGAGGAACTTGAATCAGTGCTTTCCAATTGAGCTTTCTTCTCATTGCAGAGGTGTTTGCCTGTAGCTGTTGGAGGAAATGATGCCCACATTCAGACATCTTTAGTTGTGATAGTCCCTTTAGCATGCAATAAGTATCACTTTTCCTTGCCATTAGTGTTCTAGAAGCACATTTGATTCCATCATGTCTGATGGAATGCCACATTGTTGGGAGCTATTTCTTGGCACCTAGGAAAGTTAGCTTTGAAAATGATTCTGGCAATTTTGTGATGATGTCTCATCCCAAAGGTCACACCATTTCATTTTCTACTCAGTTCTATTCCTGATAGAATGCAAGTGCTTAGGGGGCAGGAAACAA